TTCTATTCATAAATAGACCTGCCTGTGGGCAAAATCTCAGGTCGAAATACCGTCATTCGATTTATTGGTATATACCATGCCATAGGTTAAAATTCCAGTAGAATGCCTATAACTCTGGACAGAAGGCCTAAGGGGATTTTTCATACCACACTGAGGTCTATCTTATGCACAAAGTCCGAACTCAAAAGGAATTTGGCAGTTGAAAACGTTCCCCCGTTAGTTCGATTTCGGTCAGTAGAAATCTATTTCAAGAAAATAGTTGAATTTCATAGAATATTAGTAAGCTTTTCTTGACATAGACATCCCTCGATTAAAATCAATATAATAAATAAAGGAATATATATATATATATACAACTGCCGGATGCCATTCGACTGAGTTATGGCCGACAATATGTTTTTAGATATTATCTATAGAATGAGTATCATACATGCCTATAGACATGAAATTTCAATAGTAGGCCATGGGCTCGAATTCTGTTAAATTTGTTTGTCTCATTGAAACTAGAAAAAGGTTCGTGTGCATGAATCTCAAAAGCTGAGTTATAAAGATTTGACTAAATTTTTGCAACATGTCTATACCAACACTCAGTCGAAGATTGAAACCATAATATTCCTAATCATATTTTTATTTTTTCTACACAAATTTTTTTTCGTCTATTTTTGTTAAATAAATATTAACATATCTATTCATGTCAATATTTAAATGATAAGAAAATATTTCAATATTTATATATTTCTTGTTTTTTTAGTTGTTCGTGGAAGTGAAATATTAGAAATTCTTCATGGTTTACCATTAATTAAAGAATATTTATTTTCACTATATGAATGTCGATATGCAGATTTTTTTCGTTGTTTAGCAACAATTGAACAAAATTTACTTATTCAAGATCGTTATTTAGCACCACATGCAACATATTATGTACGTGAGATGCGTATTATTGCATATAATCAATTATTACAATCATATTCATCATTAACAATCAAAGGTATGGCACAATCATTTGGTTGTTCAGAAAATTTTCTTGATAAAGAATTATCAAGATTTATTGCCAGTGGTCGACTTAATTGTAAAATTGATAAAGTACGAGGAATTATTGAAACAACAAGACCCGATTCAAAAAATTTTCTTTATCAAGAAGTGATTAAAAAAGGTGATTTATTACTTAATCGTGTTCAAAAGTTAAGCCGTGTCATCAATATTTAATTAAATGAAATGATTAGATTACAGAAAAAAAAACAATTTTAATAAACATGTTTAAGTTCTTTTTTTTTTTTTATATGAGAAAGAAGTGTGAATAAACAAGAATTTTAACGTTATACGAGTGTGTTCTTATTTTTTTCTTGTTTTCGTATGCCATCATTTGACAATAACAATACAATAAGCAGCACCAATAAATAAATTATATTAAATCAATGTGACAGTCAAACATACAAAATATAGGACAAAGTTTATTTTTCATGTTGTTTGTCCTTTGCACTGTAGTTACCTCTGAAAGTGCGTTTTTTATCAATCATAAGACGGACAGACACATAATTATCATATGACAGTTCTGGCTGCAATCATATATTCCTTAATTAGTCACAGTTTTTTTCTTTTTTTATATTTATAGTTGATTTTTGCAAGTGATTTCATTTGATATACACATATGTGCTTGTGTTAGTTGTTGTTTTTTTTGTCGATAATAACTCCCTCAAGAAAAAAATATAGTTTTTCATAATATATTCATTTTAATGAATAAGAAAAAAGGGAATATCTCATGTTTGTTAGTCATCAAATGTCATGACTAGAAATATCGATATAAATCCGGATGATGCTTAGGAATTATATCATATTTAAACTTTTGAAAAAAATAGCTATGTCAGATGCAGGTCAAGTTACGGAGTAAATATTATTCTCATATTAGGCTATTTTAGCTACTTATTTATCTTTAGAAATTTTTGTTATAATAATAATCATGGTTGATAACTACATCTATTAGCCTTAATTTATATAAAGCAAATGAAAAAAAAAAAATGTTTTATTATTATTTATTTTCATACTATTGATTACATACAATATTATTTTTTCTCGTCATTTTATTTTGTTGATAATATTATGTAGTAAAAGGAGAAAGAAACTTGTTCTTTTAGTAGGTTTGTTGCCCGTTATAAATTGATTTCTAGTAGACGTCTACTATATAAAAAAAAAAAAAAAAAAGACACGAGAAGAAACTAAGAAAGAGAAAAATGTTTTTTACGTTATGTGTTATTCGTCTTTTGCGACTGTATTATTTTAACATGGTCGACAAGCGCGCTACCCCGTTTCTCTTACTAAGTACTTTTACCCGTCTTTTTCTTCTTACTTGTTATAAACACATATCAATTCGAAATATTTAATGTTTTATTAATAGGTAAATGTACTTTCTTTTTTCAATTCGAACTAACAACTTGAAGTGTTTATTGTTATTTTTTCATGAAATAATGAGCCAAAAACTATTTGCGTGTTTATCATTTTCGAAAAATAATTGTAGCAAATCAAAATTTTCAGTGACATTTTGTCTAGTCTAGACTTTGTGTTTTGGAGTAAATAGAAGAAAAGGTTTCGTAAAATCTTCAACAATAACGTCTATATAGATTAGTAATAATTACATAGCAGATGTTTATTTCACATTAGAAAAGAAAAAAATGAGTAAAAAAAACCATGCCTCTCAGCTGATGAAAAGAATAGAATATTATAAAAAAAAAAAAAACAAAAGTAACCATGACGTCGGCAACTACGTGAACAATAGCGACTTCGAATGAATGCTAATGCTCTGACGTCAATAAATATTAACTATTTTCTAATGTCGTTTTTTTCATTAAGTTTCGTGACAGGATATACCGGTAATGAATATCGTGTTCGGTATATTCTCAATTATTTGGACAATATTTCGATTGCGTTCGTTCTTTATATTTGCATAAATAATCCACTCATCATGCATAATTGAAATGATCAGATCACATCGTTTTTGTCTTCATATGTATATATAAGGTAGTTTTCGAAATCTATTCTTTAGTAAAATCTTTTTTTTTTTATTAGACTACACATCGCATGAATAACAATTCATATGATTACTTTCTTTTTAACAAAGTTTACCCATTAGCGTATGTTCTTATGCGTTATTATAATAGAAAATAAGAAGAACAAGAAAAAAAAAACAATTTTTGTAAGTATTGTTCAATAGAATTTTTAGTCATGGATTATAAGGCAATTGATTGATTGACATATAAAAAAAGTTTATAAAAATGGAAATTTAATAAGAATAATTAATTAACTTATACTTTATGTCGTAGTTATTATTACAATGCCATATTGCTTTATTTTTAGATAACTCTTCAAGAAAACAGAAAAGCTTCGATGAAAACTTCGAGAGCTTTTTAGAGTTTATAATAAAAGAAAAAAAAAAAAACTAACAATTCTTATTCTATGAACTTGTTATTGATAAACAATTCAATTTCATTTAGTTTTTCGTATAGATCTTTTTCACCTAAAATGTTTTCTATAGAAACGCTTCAAGTACACGTAAAGGCAGTATTCAAAAAAAAAAAAAAGAAAAATCTCCTATTGTTTTATATAGATACGTAGGTGGAGAGCAAACATAAAACTCTTATCTTCTCATATCCCTCACGCTACTAATGATTCTCAAATTATGAACATAGATAGTAATATGTGCTTAGAGTTAATAAATAATGTCATAAGCATAAAGAAGTAAGAATAAATCCATTGATTAAACTCAAATGAATTAATGATAATATGTTCTTTTTTCTAAGTATAACTCTGGAGAAAATTGAACGTAAGAATTATAAATTTAAAAAAAAATCTAAAAATAGTTTCATATTACTTTATTGTTGATCAGATTGTAAGAAAAACAATTATTTTATGCTAAAAATATGTCTTGACAAGTCCTCTGTCATGCCATACGTCGATGCACGTATAGTAGATATATATATATATATTAGCGCTGTTAGAAGTTGTTGACAAAGCAATAGAGATTCATAAAACGACAATCATTCTTGTGGGTTGACGTCATAAATCATTGATATAGTAACACAAGGAATGAGTAATACAAGATTCTATGATGTATATTCATTCTTTCATGTCAATAAATACGTACGTTTACAGAACATCTCTTAGATCTTTTTTTTGTTTACGATGCGTCAGAAGTCAATTGACGCGCATTGTTTCTATTATTCTGCATATAAAAACAATGGTAAACCTTTTATTTTTATTTTTTGTTTTATGTTAATTCTACAAACGTATTTTGGTTCTTCTACTGTTATGATAATGCTGGTAAAGAAAAGAAAGAAAAAGTAATAGAGAGAAAAAGTAATGACGTCAAATATGCTCTTTTTGAACCCAACGTCATAACTCTCGTTTGCATGTTCTTTCTATTTCTTTCTTCTTCATTACCGTTCATTTGTGTTGGTTCATCATTATCTTTTAAATATTATTATCAAGTATCGTAAGTAGCTGTATAGACGACACTAAAAAAAAACATGAAATGTTTAAATAAAAAAAATAAACTTGATATCGATAATGATAAAATAAAATTCTTATCATTCATCAAATATAAATATTTCTTTCGTGTTGTTTTTTCTTTTCTTTATCAAGGTGAAATTGACGTATGCAAATGGCTTCGTGTATAGATTAACATTTTCTATTTTAGTCCGAGAGAGATGATAAAAAAAAAAGATCAAAAGATTTCTTTTTTTTTTTTTTCTCCTCTTGATCATTGTTGGCAACATAAGGATGTGTTTTCTTATGAAGAAAATAGATACTACTTAGGCATGTTTCATCTTTAGAGAGACGCACAAATCATCGAGGGATTTTCACTCATATATAATTTTTTGTTTAACCGGCTGTTGCCATTAATATAAAAAAGAAAAACAACATACTCATACAATAGAAAATAGATTACTTTATATACACAATTTTTTCTTTTAGATTAAAACAAAAAATAAAATATATCATTTCAAATTATGCCAAACAAGTGTCAAATAGTTCCCGAACTTGCTGCTGCTGTTCCTGGTGTAACTGAAGAAATATTACTTGGTGATCAAAGTCCATTATTAGAATTGAATCGTAGTCGTTTACCATCTTCAGTATCATTAACAAATTCTTCGAATGACTTCCATGTTCCTATATCACGTTTAAATTCACGAACAATATCTCAAGTTAATGTACGAAAAGCATTTACTTATTTTGATAAAAATCGTGATGGAAAATTAAGTATTAAAGAATTTAAATCTGTTATGCATGATTTAGGTTATAAAACTGTTGATAAACAATTAATAAGACAAATGTTTGCGGAAATAAATCGAAATGGAAATCAACATGTATTAACTTATGATGAATTTGTTGATTTTCTTGAATCAAAATTATCAACAACAACAGTCGATGAACATTCAACATCAACAGAAGATTTTAAAATATTATCATTACCAAAAATGGAATTCGATATTGAAACATTATTTAATTGTTATGATCTTGATAAAAATGGTTTTATTGAACCAAAAGAATTACGTAAAGTTATGAAACGTTTAACAGGACAAAAATTATCTAAACAGGATATTGAAGAAATGATTAATGTTGCTGACAGAAATGGTGATGGACTTTTAGATAAGACAGAATTTGCACTTTTATGTCGTGGTTTCTGTTAAAGTAGCAACAAAAAAATAAAATAAAAAATTTTTGTTTTTTTGTACAGTTGAGCAGATATAATTAATATATATTGTTTAATTCTTTTTGTTTTTTGGTTTTTTTTTTTTTTTTTTTTTTCTATTATCGTCAATCTTTTTTTGTATCTAATGTCCTGTGTCTTAATCCATTTGATTTGATAGAACATGTCACGTTATCATGTATGATGTAATCCATTTCTTTTATCCTTTGCTTCCCGGGTTAAAAAGTCTTCGCATAGTGAATATATATATATATATTTTTTTTTTGTTTTTTGTCTTATTTTATTAGTATTTTATGTATGTGTTGTCGATGTTTCTAACTAAATTATATTGAGATTTATAAGTACCAAAGCGGGAAAAAAAGGAAAACTAAATGCACAATAATTAAGCAATAAACTACGTGTCTTTTCTATAGATTGAAATAAATATGAGCATTTTAAAGTGGAATATTTGCGTGCTTCTTTTTTGGATTTGTTAATTGTTTATGAGCAAATATTTCTAAATCTCGGCAAATACGTTGTCGAGTTGTATTCGGTTCAATGATATCATCAACAAAACCACGTACAGCAGCTGGAAATGGATTTGCAAATTTATCAATATATTCTGCTTCGCGTTGTTTAACATCATCATGACCTCCACGAAATATAATTTTAACCGCACCTTGTGCCCCCATTACAGCAACCTATGATAAATAAATAAAAGAAAACAATATGATAATTATTAATAGAATGAAAATATCATTTATGATTACTTCTGCTGTTGGCCATGCATAATTCATATCGCCACGAAGATGTTTTGAAGACATGACATCGTATGCACCACCATAAGCTTTACGTGTAATGACTGTTATTTTAGGAACTGTTGCTTCAGCATAAGCAAATAAAAGTTTGGCACCATGACGAATGATACCATTATGTTCTTGAGCAGTACCGGGTAAAAATCCTGAGAAACAAGAAAAGAATCTTATTAATTATATGACATTCTTCAATAAGATATTATTTACCAGGAACATCAACAAATGTTATAAGAGGAATATTAAAAGCATCGCAGAAACGAACAAAACGAGCTCCTTTTATGGATGAATTTATATCTAAACAACCAGCTGCGACTTTAGGTTGATTAGCTACAATACCAACAGTTTGACCATTCATGCGTGCAAATCCTTAAATAAGAACAAAAATAAAAAACCTACAAAAAATAATATGGTTTTTCTTATGCTTACCAATTATAATATTTTTTGCAAATTCAGGCATGATTTCAAAAAAGTCTTCTCCATCAATTATTGCAAAAATCTAAAGATATTTTATTTGTGTGTGTGTTTTTTTTTATATTGTATTTTTGAAATTAAGTATCATTACTTACGACTTCTTTCATATCATAAGCAGCAGTTGATTCTAATGGCACAACTGTATCTAATGAATGGACTAGACGATCAGGACTATCATCACATTTACGAATAACTGGTTCATCATCACGATTTGATAATGGTAAGAAATTAAAAAGTTCTCTTGTGCGTAAAAGTGTATCAATATCATTATCATAGGCACCATGTGCTACACCACTTTTAATCATATGAGAATTAGCTCCACCAAGTTCTTCTTGTGTAACTGTTTCATTTGTTACTGATTGCACTACATCAGGTCCTGTTATAAATAAATATGATGTTTGACGAACCATAAATATAAAATCAGTTAATGCTGGTGAATAGACGGCACCACCTGCACAAGGACCCTATAAAAAATAAAACAAAAATGTTTGTTTGTTATCAATGTTTTGAGAAAGATTTTCTATTTAAATCTGACTTTTGAGTTTTATAAATAAATATATTAATTAAATGAGAATCGAATATTATGTTTAATGTATTGTTATATTACGAAGAATTTAAAAGGAAAATTTCACAACTATTCAACTTGAAAGTTTTCATAGAGAGTGATCTCCTTGTTATTCCCATCCTAGGATAAAGCTATCGTAATAGTGTGTCTTTTACATTATTTATATACGTAAGTAGATTGAATGTCTTGGTCAGCGATGTAGCCAGAAACTTTTTACTTGTGGGCAATTAATTGGGCCAACTGCTTTGAGAAGCAGACAAATATGAGCAATTATCATTATTTTGAAAAAAAAAACTCATGGGAAATAATGTTTGAAGCATCTACTAGTTATTGGCATCGCCTAAAAGAAAATCCCTGACCAATAACTTTTCAACCCATGGGTAATTGCTCAATACATCACTGTTATTATTTTAGGATAGAACCAAATTAAAAAGAACTTGAAACTTTTACAATAGACTCCTCTTGTTAAGGCCTATCTCTGTACGAAGTTTAAAGTCGAAATTCGAAAATCAGTTTTTCTGAATAAAACCGCGACATTCATTAAAACAATACCGAAAAAGTGCAGTATCTACACAACGATAAGCTAAGTACACGAACTTTTTTTTCCACATCTTCGCAGGTCAGTTGAGTTTACATAATGCACATAGTCACGACTTGAAAATGATTTATTATTTGAGAGACTTTCTTCGTTAGATATGTAAAAGAACCAATTATAGTATGACTTAGACCTAAGAGAATATCTCATAGTCATACTCTAAGTCAGCATGGTCGATAATCAGTAACCTGGAAGATTTTGGTGAGAAAGCAATTGATCAATAGAAAATGTTTCCTCATTAGTAATAACAACTTTGATAACAATTGCATTTAACATAGATAACGATACCCTTCAAACAGTTCGTGTTAACATTAAGCTTTGACCGAGATATTGCCTTTTTAATAGGTTTTCTATTTCCGGATTCAATCTTTCAATAAAATCTTATTGTCGAATTTCGATCTGAAAACTTTGCCTAGATAAACGTCTCTCAGTGAGATTAGCTTATGCACAAAATGTTAGAAGCTTTCAATCGAGTGCCTTTGAGATTTGTGACTTCCAAAAAATATGCATGTTTTACACGGCACCCATAGAAAACCGCTTGGAAACCTGCAAAATGTTTCTTAGCGGCAGTACGAAGTCTTTGAAGGATGTGTAAGTGTTATTTCAGTCAATTCCTATTAAAGCCATAGACTATCAAATAATAAAATTAAGCTAAAAGGAATATTTCATGTGTTAACATATTTCTTTAAAAAAAGTCCAGCTATATCTGACATTTCTTTCTTTTTTTTTTCCATCTTACCATAATAAGAGAAAGTTGTGGAATGACGCCACTTGCCATAACGTTTCGTTGAAAGATATCTGCATAACCAGCCAATGATTCTACACCTTCTTGAATACGAGCACCACCACTGTCATTTAAACCAATAACTGGTGCTCCAACAAGCATAGCTTGATCCATTATTTTACAGATTTTTGCTGCATGAACACTTGATAAACTACCACCAAAAACAGTAAAATCTTGCGAAAATACATAAACTGGTCGTCCATTAATAAGACCAGAGCCAGTTAAAACTGAATCACCATAATACTTTTCTTTTTCCATACCAAAATCTGAGCAACGATGTTGCATAAACATATCATATTCCCGAAATGAATTTGGATCAAGTAAAACTTCAATTCTTTCACGTGCAGTTAATTTTCCTTGATAAGAAAGAACAAAAAAAAAAAAAAAGAATTTGTTTCTAATTAATAAAAACAAATCAATTACCTTTTTTATGTTGTGCATCGATACGTTTTTTTCCACCACCAAGTAATGCTAATTGTCTTTCACGTTTAACTTCTTCTTTAACCTTTAATGTATTTACTGTTGCGGCACCTAATAAGCGTGTTTGATTCAAACCAATATTGATGACACGTAATGCAGATAAACTTCGAAACATCTCTCTATTTATTCAACTATTCTCTAAAAAAAAAAAATCATATTGAAAAAGTTTTTCTTTTTTTAATTTTATTTATTAAGAAAAATTAAAATCATCATTCTATATTTCACAATGTGTATGATTAAATGTTGAAATAAATGAATCAAGATGAAAAATTTTTAAAAATGGTGATAAAATATTTTTATCTTGCATTGCTGTTGTTGTTATAATTAAACTTGCATTTTTTGTTGCTGATTCAATTTCATTAAATGACCAATGAAAAAATTTTTTTGCTAATTCTGGTAAAATTATTTTTGCTAATTTTTCAGCTATAATCAATAAACTTTGTACAACTTGCATCGAATCATTTTTAGTTATAATATTTGAAATAATATCAAATATGTTTGTATTAGTTAATGATAAACTCATAATAATATTAAATATTGCTGATGAAGTACGAATAAATGATTGAGTCATATTTTTAATTTGTTGTTGACAAGTTTCTTTTGTTATTGAACAACCAGTTACACAAGTATATGGATGAGTTAATGGACAATTTCGTAAACAAAAGGGTCCAACTTTTTCATAACGTTTTGAACATATCAATGATGAACCAACACCTCGACTATAACTATTTCGAAAATAGAATCGTCCACAAAAACAACCAAGTTTGGTATAACTTGTAGGACATGATACACATGATCGACGAATAATACCACATTTATCATACCATGGACATGAACGTTTTGAAAAACTAACATCAATACAAGCAAAACCAATTGATGTTATATTTTCACATTTTTCCCAACATACTGGACCAACACCATTATAACCAGTATGACATGATGGATAACAAATAAGACCATCTTGTTCAGGTGCATCATCAGGACATGTAAATGCTAGAAGATCATTTGCGCGACGCCAACAAAAAGGATCATATGTATGAAATATTTCATGTAAAACACTTTTAACTGATGGTGATACACTAATTTCTGAAATAAGTGTATCATTTGTATTGTTTGCAGTATTTATATTAAGAAGAAATAATGTTGTTAATTCTAAATTTTCTTCTATTGTTCTAAATTTAAAAAAAAAGAAGTGAAAAATATAACTATGACTATGTGATATAATATTAACTTACGTCTCATTCCATTTAAACACTATATCGTCCGTCAAATTTTGGCATATTACTTGATAAACAAGTAAAATAAACACGAAAAAAAAACACCTCATGACAAATTGATACAATGAATCGTTTTCTTTCTTTGTTCTATCATTTATAACAACAACGAACTGGTGTTGATTCATTACATTTGCCATTATTTTTCTTATCCCATCCTAATGTTTCTCATATTTCATCGAAGTGTTATATATCGTATGCAAAACAAAACACAAAAAATGAAACAGACCAAGAAAACGAAAGATCTCTGTTTAAATTTAAAAATACAAAATAAAATAGATACTTTTTCAATACAATAAAAAAATTCAAGACTACAGTTCATTGAAACGGATGATATGTCAATATCATATACTTTTTCTTTTTTTCTATTACATCACAAAAGTTCAAAAAAATAATTAATGGAAAGATTCTTCATCGTTGGAATTAGTATTATGATTATTATTATTATTATTATTATTTGCTTGATTATTAGACGAAGCAGCTGCAGCTGCTCGTAATTGATCAAGACGAATAACCGAATTATAGCGAGGAATATTTCTTTTAAGTATATCTTGTATAGGACCAAGAACACGTTCAAATCGTGCACGATCCATTTTAACACATTTTAATGTACCTTTAGCAATAACTGTTGCAACACGTGGTCGATTACATAAAAGAGCTATTTCACCAAAATAATTTCCAGGACCAAGTGTATCAACTTCAACTGCTTGAGGTAATTCTGATGTTTTTTGATAGACAATACCATTACCCTTAAAAAAGAAAATGTTTTTTTTTTTTTTTCATTTTTTGTATTCTTATAATGGACTTTGTCGGATAAGATGACAATCTTTGGTTTGAAAAGTCATTCATACTATTCCGTAGAATAACTTATGTTAAAGGATATTATAGTAAATGTGGATAATATGATCGAATATTATGACTTAATTACGTTCCTAAATCAACCTACATAAAGTTTTATCGAATATTTAATAGCTTTCTTCGCAGTCAAAACTTAAGCATTTTTTCTAGCTTTTATAATGTTTTCAATTATTTTATATTGCTTCTCAAGACAAAGGTGGCCAGAAGCTTTCTTATAAATTGTGTGCCATCAAGCTTTATAAGTATACTAATTGACTTTCCTCTCAATCGAAGTATGTCATAATCAAATCGGTCAAACAATGCCTAACAAGGACCAATTTTTCGATTCCTATGGGCAAACAAGTACAACAGTTTTGTCAGAAATACTATTTTGAGCAAAAAAATTTCTATCTTTTAATAATAAAGTTAATATTTTCTGTCATTTGACATACAAAGATCTTTCGAAAGTGGTAAAAAAAAAATCTTTTCACTTCCGGGCCGGATCCCTGCAATGGGTACAAGGACATGTTTAATTTTTAATTCTAATAAAAGATCAAACATATATTGACTCTAATAGAGCTTCATACTTTAATCATACGCAGCTACTCAGAATCTAAATGAAATAGAAACAAATGTTTGTAATAGTTGATTTCCGTACCTTCTCCAGGGGTCCACGAAAGTGAATAATTTTTTTGCCATTTCCGAAAAGATCTCTATATGTCAAATGATAGAACATGATGATCTTATTATTAAATGATAGAAACTTTTTCATTCAAAAAAATATTTCTCGTAAAACTGATAGACACTGTTGTTCATAGCAATTGAAAAAAAAGATTTTTTTTTTAGGTAATAGTTGGCCAAATTGGCTATGACGCATTTCGATTTAAAAGTAAGCCAGTTGGTATACTTATAGATCTTGATAGTACATGATTTATGAAAAAGTTGCATAGTTAATTGTCTTTACTCTAAGGAGTAGGATTGAATAATTTAAAACTTCATAAAAAGCAAAATATTACAAAAGCTAGAAAAAATACTAAGACTGTAAGTGATGAGAAAACTATTGAATATCAGATAAAGTTCTATTGAAATAATTCTAAACATAATTATACATATATTGGTTTGGAAACAAAACGATGCATATAACTTTTCAAATCAAGGATTATTATTTTATTTTACAAGGTCCTTAAAGAATTTATAGAATAAATTTTGAGAGAAATATTTTTTTAAATTTAACTTTATAATTGTTTTTTTTTTTTTTTGAAAATAATTACCTCAACAATAATAAAGAAATCATCGCCTGGATCGCCTTGTTTAACAACAATTTCACCATCTTCAAACTGAATTGGTTCAAGTGAATCCGCTACTGTTAGACGCTCCCATTCATCAAGTGTTTCTAAATAATTAATTTTAAATTGGTCTTAAATATTAATCTTATTTTATTTCATTTCTTACGTAATATTGAAACTTTACTTAAAAATTCTTCATACATGTTTCTTTTTTTTTATAG